CAAAAAATAAAAAAAAAAAGAAAAGTAAAATGAATACCCACAAATCCTACCACAGATTAAAGTATAAAATACCACCTAAAGTATAAAATACCACCAGCCTCCTGTGTGTCCTGCCCTGATCTCACCTCCCCCATATCCCCAAGGTCTTTTCTAGGCTCTCCACTTACCTGAAATCATTGTTATATATTTCCTGAAGTTCCTATGTAAATGTTTCTACATTCCCTGTGTATGTCTGCACCTCCAAATAATGTTCCATCAGGGTCTGCATATTTTATTTTATTTTATTTATTTTTATTATTATTTTTGTGTGTGTGTGGTTTTTGGCCAGGGCTGGGTTTGAACCCGCCACCTCCGGCATATGGGGCCGGTGCCTTACTCCTTTGAGCCACAGGCATCACCCCAGGGTCTACACATTTTAAAACTTCATATAAGTGGTATTTACGGTAGTTCTCCTGTACCATATGTTTTCTGCCCACCATGATTTTGCAGATCCCCGTTGCTATGTGTAGCTCTAGCTCACTCATTCACATTTCATGCTGTAAGGACTTCATGGCATGGTTATATCACGATACATTTACTGGCCAATGGAAGCTGAGGCTGTTTCTGATTTTTGTGCTTGAGGAACACATGTGCAACAAGAGTATGTCTAGGGCAATGAAGTTTGGACTGACCACTACCCACAGTAAGAAATAAAGTTTGTACTGGCTGCCAGTGCTAATGCACACATTAAATATAAATGTTAAATAAAAGTATCCCAAATAACATGGATCCCTCCCATCTGTGATATTTTCTTGATATTTTCTGTTCTCTTCCATTAAAACAGAAAACGTTGCTGGAGTGGCGCCTGTAGCTCAGTGGGCAGAGCACTGGCCATGTACACCAATGCAGGCAGGTTCAAGGCCTGCTAGACAACAATGACAACTGCAACAAAAAAATAGCCAGGCATAATGGCAGGCACCTGTAGTCCCAGCTACTTGGGAGGCTGAGGCAAGAGAATCGCTTAAGCCTAAGAGTTAGAGGTTGCTGTGAGCTGTGATGCCACAGTACTCTCCAGAGGGCAACAAAGTAAGACTCTGTCTCAAAACAAACAAACAAACAAACAAAAAATGTTGCTGGAACTCAATAAATTGCTGTCAGGACTTGTATCACCTGGTGTTGCATAAACACCTCCATGGAATACTACCCCTAGCAGGGGACACAGGGTGTATGCACACTGGGAAAGGGGGGGACAGGGACTGAGGACGCTGAGCAAAGGGCTCAGACTTGAACTGAGGGAGCTCTGCTGGGAACTGCAGAAGGGATATATCTTGACCAGATTTGTGGTCTAGAAAGATCCCTCTCAGGACAAAATGGCACTACTTTGAAGAGCCACTTACCAGCCTCTGGTAAAGGTGAAGATATGTCTACAGACATCAGAAGAGCGCAAGTCCAAACCTTCACCTCCAGGTCTTTGTACACCCTCAAACTTCCTCTGGAAACACTCTGCCTGCTTTCAAGGTGGCTCTCTCCTCTTCTTTCTGATCTCAGCTTTAATGGTAGTAGTTCCTTCAAGAGGCCTGCTTTGGCTCCCCCTGCCCCAGGCTGGGTCAGCCACTATCCTGTGCCTCCCCCATCCTGGCCTTGACCCCTCTGTCTGTGCCTTCCTATCATGGTGCTAACTACTCTGAGTCATAATTGTGTGGTGACAGGTCCCCATTGGATAAGGAACTCTGAGAAGACAAGGGTCAGAGATGTCTTGTCTTCCCTGTCAAGGGGCAGAGAGTGAAGGCATGGTGTTCTAAATGACTGACGAGTGTGGCAGTGATGGCTACCTGCCTTCCTTCTGAAAGTGCTTCCTTTTCTTTCTTTTTTTTTTTTTTTTGAGACAGAGCCTCAAGCTGTCCCCCTGGGTAGAGTACCGTGGCATCACAGCTCACAGCAACCTCCAACTCCTGGGCTAAAGCAAGACTCCTGCCTCCGCCTCCCAAGTAGCTGGGACCATAGGCGCCCGCCACAACACCTGGCTATTTTTTTTTTTTTTTTTGGTTGTAGCCATTATTGTTGTTTGGCGGGCCCAGGCTGGATTGGAACCTGCCACCTTAGGTGTATGTGGCTGGTTCCTTAGCCACTTGAGCCATAGGTGCCGAGCTTTCCTTTTTTTTTGTAGAGATAAGAGTCTCTCTTTTTCTCCCTCGGTAGAGTGCTGTGGCGTCACACAGCTCACAGCAACCTCCAACTCCTGGGCTCAGGCAATTGTCTTGCCTCAGCCTCTCGAGTAGCTGGGACTACAGGCGCCTGCCACAATGCCCAGCTATTTTTTTGTTGCAGTTTGGCCAGGGCCAGGTTTGAACCCACCACCCTTGGTATATAGGGCTGACACCCTACTCACTGAGCCATAGGTGCTGCCCAAAAGTGCTTCCTCTTCTATACTGTCACATGCCACTAGGAACCCACTGCCCAGCCAGGTTTCCAGCATCCATTGCTAGTTCTCAGACATGGAACGGTAAAGGAAATGCTGTGTCACTTCCAGCCTAAACAGTTAGGAAGGAGCGTACACCCTCAACCACTCTTTCCCCTTTACCTGGAAGCAGAGATTTTCAAGGCTGTAGGGGACAGAACAACTACAAAAGGGAGGGAACCTGCGTCCCTGAATCACCACCTGGAGAAGGGCTACCCAAACCTGCTGTGTGAATAAAATGCTATTGGGTTGAGCTACCGAAATATCAGGGACTATTTGGTACAGTAGCTAATATTTGCATAATGTGACACACATCACAAGGAACCAACCTGGTGGCTGGAGGCATCATATAGAAAGTTGGCCCAGTTGGGGTCTGTCTGCATAAATCGGAACTCGAACAGCTCCCGCAGACATAACCTCAGGAGCTGGAAGCAAATCTGGGGTGGGAACAAGCAGCAACAGACACATCAGTGTGATCTGCCCCTGTAGAGCCCTCACTGGCTTAGAAAGGGACAATGGGCTTGGTCCTCCCTGCCAGCCACACTCTGGACCAGTACCCTCCCTACTGTGCCATGACCATGTACCTGGTTCCGGATGTCCTGACTCAGGCCCTGGCACTGGTCCAGGGGAACCCCTCCAGCCAGCTCCATGCCCAGCACCCTTGTTGTGCACAGCTCCTTAACCACGGCTGGCACTCGGAAGAAGGGGTCATCTGCCAACAGCTGCCTGGGGCACAAGAGAAGAGAGGGAAGGGGACTTTGTGCTACAGACTGCTGTGATCCAGTTCGAGGCCTCCTCTTCTTCCAAGAAGGTCCTCCGTGAACAGCCCATGTCTTCCCTTCCTTCCTGCCCTTCTCTTGCCTGTGTCTGCCCTTGGTGATGGCCAATACCCAACTGGACTGACATTTAACAAATATCTCAGAGGTGCCTACTTTTGTTCCTGCCCCTAAACCAGCGCTAGAGACCCAGCTACCTCTTTCTTACCTAAAACTCTTCTATGACTTCTGGTTGCCCCAGGATGAGCTCATTGTATTTAGCTCATGCATTATTTTTTTCATCAATTATTTATTAAGTCATTCTCAAAATAGTCACTGATATAAAAATCTGTGAAGTCTATAGTGAGACTCAAGGGTCAATCCTTGGAGTCACTGCTCTGACCGCTGGTAAAAAAAAAAAAAAAAAGGATTTCTTCTCTGTGTCTGTGCCTGTGCAGGAGGATGCTGCGGACGGAAAAGTGAATGAACTGTCCCAGCACCTGCCCCCACCCCATGAGACTATGATAAGCAAACACACCAATTACAGATTGAGGTAAGTGGGTCAAATCAAAGAATATGAGCGAGCCCTTGGCTGAGGACCTGTGTGGTGGCTGGAGGAGGGTGGAGGGAGCAGGGGAAGGATGCGGCTTTATCCTAAGGGCACTGGGACATCCCCTGGGGCAGGGAACCACTCTACAGACTCAGGGCTGGATTTGATCCCACATCTGTGTGCAGGGAAGATGCCCTTAATCACTGCCTTTTTCTGACTTTTCTCTCACTCTCTGTCCACAGAGTGTGGCACAATGTAAATCCTCAATAAATTTGTGAGCCACACTGAGGAGGTGTCATTAATTGTCGTGCATCATCATGCTTTTTCCAAGATAAAACCATGTTGTTCCAGGTGACCACAGTTCATCTTCACTGCTATATAATATGCCACTGATGAATCCACCATAACTTATCTATCTACCCTGCTGGATAAATTTGACAGGCTTGGGTTGTTTCTAGTTTTGGGCTGTTGCAAACAATGCTACTCTGAGCATTTTAGAAAATTCTAATGGTGAATACCAGAGTATTTAGTAAGGAGGGTAATTGCTGGGTTGTAGAGTATGTGACTATAAAGGCTTATTTCATGATGCCCAACTGTTCTCCAAAATGCTCATATAAATTTTTTTTTCTGGCCACAGTGCACAGAGGAGCCCCATTCCCTTCTACTCCTGACACTGCCAGACTGTCAATCCCACACATGTAATGGTGATTCATCATGTAATTAAGTGTCCATGTCAGATTGCAGTACATATGTGTCTCATGTGACAGGAGAAAACTGACCCTCAAAGAGAAAAAGTGACCCGCCCAAGCTCACAGAAGACACCAGGGGGTTAGTGAAGTAATGAGTGATGGGATGGATGGATGAGCAAATAATTGAAAGAAAGAGAAAAAGTTTGCCAGAGGCTGGGGGACATCTATTTCCCCCAGCCTGGTTGGAAAGAAAGGAGGGAAGCTGGGGGAAGGGGTTCCCAGGGTCATGCAAAGAGCTCAGCTCACCTGAAGTTCTGGGCACAAGCGGCCTCTCGACGGTAGTCACACTCCCAAGCCAGCTCCTGCTGCAGGGCCTGCAGGCTCTGCTCAGCAAATAGGCCTGAGGGGGGCAGCTTGTCAGCTGAGGACGGAGTCCCTGGGCTCCCATTCACAGGAGTCTTCAAGTCCTGTCAATCCTGTCTCTCTCTGCACGCCTTTCACTGGCACCATCTGTCTACATGCCTTCCCTCTGTCCTTCACCCAACTGCAGTCTCTTCTGAGGTCTCTCTCCTAGGATCCTGCACCCCTTGGTCACACTTGCCCCTTTTCTGTCTCTTTTTTTTGAGACAGAGTCTCACTCTGTTGCCCTGGGTAGAGTGCCATGGCATAAGCCTAGCTCACAGCAACATCAAACTCTTGGGCACAAATGATCCTCTTGCCTTAGCCTCCAAAGTAGCTGGGACTACAGAAGCCCATCACAACACCTGGCTAGTTTTTCTATTTTTAGTAGAGATAGGGTCTCTTGCTCAGGCTGGTCTTGGAACTCCTGAGCTCAAGTGATCCTCCTGCCTTAGGCTCCCAGAGTGCTAGGATTACAGGCGTGAGCCACCACACCCGACCCCTTGTTCTGTCAGTTTTTCCTGCTGATTCTCTCACGTTGCTCTCTGCCTCTAGATCTCACGTCTAGGCCTGTCTCTCTCTCTCACACAAACACACCTGCTCCCCTTCTTCGGGCGCCTTCCCACGTGCTCTAACACAAACATGCTGTCCCACTTACTCTCCTCTCCGCTTCTGGGCTCTTTTTCCACCTACAGTCCTTTTCCTAGCACTCCCTGCGCGTCTGTTTCTGGATTTCAGCCTGGGCTTCTGTCTCTCTGTAGCTCTATCAGAATCTGTAAGGTTTTCCCACACACACTCCTGCTCTCTGGGCTCTCCCTGCCTCAGTGTCCTTTCTGTCTCACACACAGCAACATAATCACTCCCTTCTACTCACACACACTGGCACTCCCTGCTCATGCTGTCCCTCCATCCAGCCCCTGCCTTCTCTCTCCAGCATCCCTTGCTCAGGTAGGGGAGGGGGCACCTTACCCTCAGGCAGGGCTACACTCATCTTTAGCACTGCCAGCAGGTTCTGGACATCACTCTGAATGCTCTGGGCAACACCTGGGTACTGCAAGGTGAGGAGGAAAACAGGGTATGAGTCACTCCTGTGAACCAGCAGGGGGCCCACCCTACCCTGCAGACCTCCCTTCTCACCTGGATCTTCACAGCCACCTCTGTCCCGTCCTTCAGCATGCCCTGGTGTACCTGCCCAATTGAGGCAGCGGCAAAAGGCACTTCTTCCAGGGAGGCCACCTTGGTCTGCCAGTCCCTGCCAAGTTCCTCTTCGAGAACTCTCTGGGGGAGTGGTCATAACAGTCATCATCATAGTTACAGCAGCTGAGTCCATCCCTTGTGCTGTTAACCTCTGCACTCAACATGCACCGGGCCCTGGGCTAAGCTCTTGGCTGCCATTCCACCTTACAGACAGGGAAACTCTGAGAGAAGTCCCTTGCCTAAGGTGACCAGCCAGATGCTGGCAGAGTGGCAGGCTCAGCCCATCTAGTCTCTCAAGCCTGCACTCCCTAGGCTGTGAGGACTGTTGAGGGGATTACTATTATTTACAGTTAAGGCTGATAACAATCCTTTATTATACTCCCATATTGAATTATTACTTTGAAATTAATGTGATAAAGAAGAGCTAAAATGAACTGAGGCCTTCCTATGGGCCAGATCCTATTCCAAATAGCTCAAAGAGAGGTGGAACTGCCTGGGGTCATGTGGCAAGTGAGAAGAGAAAGAAGGCAGGTGGCTGGATTCCCAATTCCACACCCTTACCCAGTTATTAGAAGAACAGCTCGTGTCTTGGGTACTTACTCAGTGCCAGGCACAGTGCCAGCTTATTTACAGATACTCTCCTTTAATTAAAAGGATAGTAATAATCACAGCTAAAACCTACATGTCATTCCTTGTGTGTCAGGGGCTATTCTAAGTGTTCTATGCAGACTAATTTACATAACCCTATGATGTAGGTGTAAATGTTACTGTCGCCATTTCCCAGATGAGGTAACACATCTGGAAGCACAGAGAGGCCAAGCCGCACACATGGTAAGCGGCAGAGACAGGGTTGGAACCTATGAAGTTGGGTTCAACAGAGTGCTGAGTCCATGCCCAGGACTGGACTAAGTACTCTCCACCACTTCTCAATTAATCATTGCAACAGTGCTGAGGGATGTACTTTGGTAAGCCCCATTTTACAGAAGGGGAAACTGAAGTTTAGAGTCAGACAGGGAGTAGAGCAATGAAACCAGGTCAGGCAGGTGGGGGAGAAATAGAGCATGCCTCCCCCTAGCTGGCCCTCACACACCGGGCACTCACCAGCATCTGCCAGCGGGGCATGAAGTCGGCGCTCTGTCGGACCCGCTCAAAGATGCGCTGCAGCTGGGGGCTGATGAAGCTGTTGTCTTGGGAGATAGCAGGATGAGTGGAGCAGTGAGAGGGGAGGCAAGGAGGGACCCCTATGTGAGATCTGAAGTTGGGTCTTGTTGATGGGTGGGGGTGGGATGAAAGTGAGGTCAGGGGGCTTGGTGCCCATAGCACAGTGGTTATAGCGCTGGCCATATGCACGGAGGCTGGCGGGTTCAAACCCAGCCCAGGACAGCTAAACAACAATGATAACTGCAACAAAAAATTAGCTGGGCATTGTGGCGGGTGCCTGTAGTCCCAGCTACTTGGGAGGCTGAGGCAAGAGAGTCGCTTAAGCCTAAGAGTTTGAGGTTGCTGTGAGCTGTGATGCCACAGCACTCTACTGAGGGCAAATATAGTGAGACTCTGTCTCTAAAAAATAAATAAAAATAAAAAAGAAAGAGAGGTCAGGGGTCAGGAGTTGAGGGTCAAGCTGTACCCTGGATGCTGAGCATTTGGCCAAGCTTGAGGGCGGCTCCCCGAACTGTACATAAAGTCTGCACAATCCTCTCTGCGTTGGCCTCCGAGAGGAAGGGGCTAGAGCTCAGCTGAGAGCTGCCCTCTGGGGAGGAAAGAATAACCATTAGTATTACAATGACAGAAATAATCAATCACTGAACACCAACTAGAATGGCTAAAATGAAAAAAACAAAAGTTGGCAAGATGGAAAGCAACCTAAACTCAGACACTCCTGAAAAGAGCAAGTATCCTGGCCTATGCCCTTTGGAAAACAGTTGGGAAACTTCTAGGAAAGCCCACACTTACGCCCAAAGCAGTTCCTCTCCTAGGTATACACCCAAGAGAAATGCATAAACGTGTCCATCAACAGACAGTACAAGGCTGTTCACAGTAGCTCTGTTCATAACAGTCCCAAACTGGGAACAACCCAAATGAAAACAAATTGTGGAAGAGTCACAGAGTGACTACTACGGTATTGAATAAACAAGCTACCACTACGTACAACATGGACCCATCTCACAAAAATAATGAGTAAAGAAGCCAGATATGGGTGGGGCACAGTGCCTCACGCCTGTAATCCCAGCATTGTGGGAGGCCAAGGCAGGAGGATCATTTGAGCTCAGGAGTTTGAGACCAGCCTGAGCCATAGCAAGACCCCATCTCTACTAAAAATAGAAAAATTAGCCAGGTGTTGTGGCAGGCACCTTTAGTCCGAGCTAGTCCGGAGGCTGAGGCAGGAGGATTGTGTGAACCCAGGAATCTGAGGTTGCTGTGAGCTAGGCTGACACACAGCACTCAACTCAGGGCAATAGAGTGAGACTGTGTCTCAAAAAAAAAAAAAAAAAAGAAAGAAAGAAAGAAAAAAAGCCAGTCACACAAGAGAATATATAGTCCAATTATATAAGAAGCAAAAATAGGCAAAACTAATATAGGATGTCAGAAGTCAAGACAGTGGTCGCCCTTGGTGAGGGGAGTGACCCGGTGGGGACATGAGAGGAACTTCTGGAGACCCAGGGCAGCGATTCTCAAAATGGGATTGCTGAGAGTCCCTGAGACCCGTCAAGGGAGTCTGTGAGATCAAACTATAATATTTTCATCATATTAAGTTGTTATTTGCTTTGGGTCGGTACTTATGGCTCAGTGAGTAGGGTGCTGGCCCCATATACCAAGGGTAGCGGGTTGGAAACCTAGCCTCAGCTAAAATTCAACAAAAAATAGCCAGGCGTTGTGGCAGGCGCCTGTAGTCCCAGCTACTCAGGAGGCTGAGGCAAGAGAATCGCCTAAGCCCAAGAGCTGGAGGTTGGTACGAGCTGTGACGCCACAACACTCTACCGAGGGCAATAAAGTCAGACTCTTGTCTCTTAAAAAAAAAAAAAAAAAGATGTGATTTGCCCTTTTTGACTCTTACACTCCCAAGACATTCAGTGGATCTTCCAGAGGCTCCAGGATATGTGAAGACACCATCACATCATCATTCTGACAGCTAATGGAATATGTTCATGTGTTCTTGTGTTTTAAAAAATTTTCAGTTTTTGGGTGGTGCCTGTGGCTCAGTGAGTGGGGCACTGGCCCCATATACCGAGGGTGGTGGGTTCAAACTCACCCCGGGCAAACTGCAACAAAAAAATAGCTGGGCATTGTAGCAGGCACCGATAGTCCCAGCTACTAGGGAGGCTGAGCCAGGAGAATTGCCTGGGCCCTGGAGTTGGTTGCTGTGAGCAGTGTGATGCTACGCTGCCGCACTTTACTGAGGGTGACAAAGTGAGACTCTGTCTCTGAAAAAAAAATTTTTTTTCACAGTTTTCATCTCTAATACAGCAAACATCAATGAAGGAAACCCACATAAACATGCTCTTTAGGGTCCTCATTCTATTTTTAGTATCTTTATAATGAAATAATTCACATGCCATATAATTAACCCATTTGAAGTATCCAATTCAATGGTTTTTAGTATATTCACAGAGGTGTACAAACATTACCATAATTAATTTTACATTATCATCCCCTTCAAACCAACCCTTTTCCCTTTTGAAAAAAGGGAAAAAAAAAAAGGGCAGTGCCTGTGGCTCAAAGGTGCAGGGCGCTGGCCCCATATACTGGAGGTGGTGGGTTCAAACTCAGCTCCGGCCAAGAAAAAAATAGAAAGAATAAAGAAGGCTGAGCTCAGGATTGCCTAAGCTTGGAAGTTCAAGACTGGACTGAGCAAGAGTGAGACCTTGTCTCTAAAAATAGCCAGGCACTGGGCGGTGCCTGTGGCTCAGTGAGTAGGCTGCTGGCCCCATCCATATACAGAGGGTGGTGGGCTCAAACTCGGCCCCAGCCAAAATCAAAAAGAAAATAGCTGGGCATTGTGGCGGGCACCTGTAGTCCCAGCTACTCGGGAGGCTAAGGCAAAAGAATCACCTAAGCCCAAGAGCTGGAGGTTGCTGTAAGCTGTGATGC